TTTTTTTGGGCTACGGATAGCTTTGAGATTCCAAGGTTCGGTCGGTGGGCTGGTCGAAGAGTGAAGGATGAGACTTATAATTTCAGTAAAGACTAGTTTATTCTAATTCTATGTGCTTACAACTATCTCTTAAAACTATCGCTCGCAATACTTAATACTAATCGCTTAAAAATATAAGTCCGCTTCGGCGGCAATCTTTTGTAGTTAATTGCTGGCGCGCGGCGCTGCTGATAATTCACGACTGTGTGATTCGCGGATCGGAATACGGGTCTGTTCGGTCTCGGCGGCGCGTGTGCGGTCCGTTCGGTATCGGTGCTCGGCGGCGCGGGCGCGGTACGCTCGGTTCGTTCGCACGGTTAGCGCAGGCGCGGTTCGGCGGTCGCGGCGCGTGTCGTGGCTGCCGGTGACAGCTCGCGGTGTGTGTGCATGGAACGGGAGGTTAGGTCGGTGTGTTATCGGTGCCGCTCAGTTCGCGGATTATTTCATCGGTTAGTGCTCATCACGCATCTAGCCGTGGTGGAGTCAGCACTCAACTCGTGCTTCGGACGAGAGGAAGCGGTCGCTCAATACGCGGCCTGGGGTAGGCACTCAACTCGTGCCGTGCTAGGTTAAGTGATTCCGCTCAGTGCGCGGTTCGGGGTTACCGGGTCCGGCTCAGTACGCCTTCTCCGGGGAGACGACCTGCTCAGTTCGCTGGTCGGAGGATTCTGATTCTCTCGGCTCGCTCGGGCTCTTTTATACCGTAAGTTCGTGGGCGCGGGGGTTAGAAACGAGACAGGGGAAGAGCGCAGAGGGTGGGGAGCAACGTTGCTCTTTGTTAGAGCTACTCTTTGTTGTCACGTCACAATCTTAATGCATATCCAATCTTTTGTGGGTTCAACTTCATAACCTAACACATGTTCAGACAACCCGATATTTAAAAGTACAGTGCAAATAAGAAGTGGGCAAACATCATGATCATTCACAATGATATTGACCACTTCTCCGAACAGTGGACATAAATCCTGAGCACCTATTGCTACAACCATTCCTAACTTATAGGTAGTTCCCTTATAGTCAATCCATTTAAAAGTCATGCATTCAGTATCTCTGAGTTCACGTGGAACAGCCTGAATAAATGGTAACATGTTATGTAATGTTATAATGTGACCTGGACCAGTTTGCATGTCAGGTGTTAAACCTTCTTTTGATAAAAATCGATAACACATACCCATCTGGTGTTTTATAGCAAGCGAATGAGCTATATTCAAACGAGACATATTAGCTGCAGCAGCTTGGGTAAAATCTCTATGCTTGGCTTCATTTCGAATGGTCGATAAATGAGAAGTTGGGCCACTTTGTTCAATAATTCTCGGGTAGTGAGTAAGAATATGCATTTTTGGAGTTAAATTTTCTCCCGTTAAAGAAATAAAAAGTTCGTGATGCTCTTGTATTAAAATTTTTAAACGAGAAATAGAACCTTTTGACAACCTTTTTGCAAGTATGATATCAAGTATTTGACGCATTAGTAAATAAAGTTGCCAGTATGGGTTATCCTCGTAAACTAAATCGCCCACAATGACTCCAAAAAGTCTTACAAAACACAATATTTCCGAGCCAGTCATTTTTAATTTTTTTTTCTTTAGATGGTCGGTAGATATACATGGCGGTTTATTTGATGACTGTTTTGATCCATAATCAAACATAAGCATCCTATTGTTCAAAAACTCAAGATTAAAACATTTGTACTTGCCATCAATGAGATTTCTTAAAATGTGAATCATATCAACATTGCACAAGCCCTCTCGACCATCATGCAACTCATCTACGCTATAATTTTCAGTCATATGATAAGAAGGTATATCGTGAAAAACACATTCCTCTTTTAAACCTGTTTCAGAAACATTGTGCAATTGAATATCATTATTATAATTTAAGAAATTTCTCAAAAGGGTAGGATCTTCTATTACTGCTTTCTGTGTGCCCTTTTTATGCATTTTACAAAATCTGCAGAAAAAGTTAGCAGAAAAGGATTCTACCAAACCAAGTAATTCATTTAATGCTAAGTTGTCTCCTGTTATTAGCCCGAGAACAAAATAAATCCGTTTTAATCCTTGGCTACTTTGGACCAAAATACCTTCACTTTCTAATGATTTTAATATTTTAATGAGAGGGGAAAATGTG